TTCGATTACCATTATTCTGTGCAATTCTGAGCATCAAACAGAAAGCGACTTGGTAATGACATATGGATAAACCTAGCAGCAATGATAATTGTGTGCTTGTAATGACGAGGGTCCTACATCCCTAACGATGCTCAGGAAACTTAACGAAGAGCGCACTTGCCGCACTGAGTTTCCTATATTCACTATTACTGGCGTGGGCAATTATATAACTATATATCGATCAGAATTTAAAAAGATTTTCATCATAACGAAAGCCAAAGTTATCAAAACGGTAAGATACGCCGTTGAAGTATGCGTGAGATTTCCGATTACTCTTACTGCTGTGCTGTGTCGAGCTGAGCGTAACTTGAGACGTGGTTCTATAACTAGAAAACCGCCTGGCGTTCATTACCCGGGTGCCAAGCAATAATTAAACGGGAGTTGTGTAAGCAAACGGCGTCATTTAGTCTTGAAGTTCAGTCAGTGCATGGCTGAATCTTTTTTACTGAGTTCTGGCCCGGTGGTGAACTTTACACCAGAGAGCAATCTATAGTTAAGTATAGATAATTAAGCCATAATTAATTGGTGCTCCGTTTTGTAGCTTGGTTTACCGTTCTGTTGAAGAAATGTTGTTTCTTTAATGGCATTTGCTAGCTTAGGTTCAGTGTGCACATAAGCACACCCGCGAGAACTTTCACACAGTCACACGAAGCGCCCTAGAATTAGACCAACAAGCAATGGTATTTAGAGTTTGAGAACATAAACAATAAATGCCTAACCGACTAGGCTGGTGGTAATTCCTGGCGGCATGTTTATATATATGATATATATATATATATATATATATATATAATATATTATATATAGGATGAGAGAGGTGAATGATGAAGAGAGGTGGTTTAGAGCGCATAAAACGAGCAAAACGGAAGAGACAAACTGCTAAAGGATCAGCAAGTGAAAGAAAGCAGGGCAGACAGACAAGCAGACAGACCGACAGACATGCATGCAGGCGGGCAGGCATGCAGACAGGCAGGCAGGCAAGCAGGCAGGCAGCAGGCAGGCAGCAGCCGGCAGGCAGGCAGGCAAGGCACACAGGCAGGCAGGCAGGCAGGCAGGCAGGCAGGCAGGCAGGCAGGCAGGAGCAGAGCAGGCAGGCAAGCAATCAGGCAGTCAGACAGGCAGATAGACAGACAGACGGACGGACGAACGGATGGACAACACACACACACACACACATACATACACACACAGTATACATATATATATATATATATATATATATATATATATATATATATACAAGTAAAACCACACACGAAAACGTAAATAAAAAACGATAAAAACTATGTAGATAAAAAACAAATTCAAAAAATAGGTATAGGTAAACAATATAAATGTCAAATTTAAATTTAAACACCCTTTACCTATACTGTTTTTTTGAATTTGATATATATATATATAGGTTGGTAGATAGATAAATAGATAGATAGATAGATAGATAGATAAATAGATAGATAGACAGATAAAGAAGTAGAGAGAGAGAGAGAGAGAGAGAGAGAGAGAGAGAGAGAGAGAGAGAGAGAGAGAGAGAGAGAGAGAGAGAGAGAGAGAGAGAGAGGGAGGGAGAGCGAGGTATGAATGTATATAGATAATGAGAGAAAATGAGAAGGCATATAGAGAGAGAAAAGAGAGAGAGCGAAAGAGTGAACGAGCGAGAGAGAGAGAGAGAGAGAGAGAGAGAGAGAGAGAGAGAGAGAGAGAGAGCGAAAGAGACAGAGAGAGGGAGGGGGAGAGACAGGGATGGGAGAAGAGAGATAGAGGGAGAGATATCCCGAGTAGTTTTGTGGCGTGGACATTTTTATTGTCGTGTTTGCATAATACCGCATTTCAAGTTGCGTGCTTTTAGAGTAGCTTATTAGAAAAAAGAGCGTGGTTTCCCGTAACATAAACAAATCATATTCACTTTGTTGCGCACTTAATCCTCGTGCGTGTGCGTTGCTATTATAGAGTACGTCTAAATACACTCGACTTCAACGTGACCAACGCCCGAACTGCTAGATTTCAACACGCTTCCAGCACGCGATTACTAGCAACTTCAGAATGCCTCGGGCGCAAGCGAGACGGAATGAACTGTATATCGCTTTATGAGGAACGCATGAGCAAATTTGTAATGATGCCTATACCTTGCTTTGTTCGCATTATTGGATGCCACGGGCAAGGAGACATTACAGCTCGTTTATCCGTTTAATTAATGCAGGCCACTCACTTTCGTCGTCTCTTATCTTCATGAAATTTTCGCGCGTATTTTATCGACGCTCAAAACGAAACGCTAAAATAATATTGATAGGGGAAACGCTGTTCGTGTCTCTCGTTTTATGCTCAGAGGGATTTCGGTGCTCCGTGCATGTGTGCTTCTAGCCATCAATATATTGACGGCAGCCGTATGCAGATTTTCGCCATGATCATTGCGTCACTCGCCGTCCTACTCGCAGTTGAATTATCAATGTAATACTGCCGATGCGACTGACTGACTCTCCTCGCGTCAATGCGCCGCCTTCCTTGTCACAGCCGCGCAGTGATCTTTGCTATATCATTTACTCGTCCTTGGAACATGAAATCTATAGGTCTAATGGAAAATAACGTAGCCGCTATTACCATTGCCGTATATACGGCTATCGATCGAGAGATGAGAAACTTGTGTGACCGTTTACACATAGCGTATACGTCGTATGAGTGTGGCAATACAGTGATAGAGGGAACGCGATTAATACTATATCACGACCGTTCATAAACGTTCATAATATCTTGGTGTAGGACAAGTGACTGCATGTACGGGAAGTGCAATAATTACTATAACACGATATTGTTAGTTTTCATTTCATCATTCGTTGTAAATATTATCCACTAACGTTCGACGATGTACATCTGCTAGCTAATATAAGGGAATAATTGATTATAATTACACTAATTATTTTTGGCAGCTCGCCAGGGTCGTAGGATCGATCCAATCGGCTCCTTAGCAATAACTAGCCGTGTGAATTTTGTGCATAAAGTTTCATTACCCGCGTCAGCATTCTATTATTTTAGCAGCCGATTATGATAATTTTGATGACATATTTTACTTTGGTCTCTATGATTTGATTGTGAAAAACTCGTTGATTAATCTTCGAACATTGTAATATAATGAACACGTTAGAGCAGATCGATCCAGCACGAAGCGTATTTAACAAGTAGGCGAAAATAATACGAGTAATTTATAATATGAGCCCAGCCAAGCACTAGCGTTACGCTGCAATCTGCGCTAAATTCGCTGCCATCGTTAATATTTATATTTTTGTCTTCCGCTATAAATTTTTTAATTTGGCGCGTTGAAGTGGGATAGGTGGTCATTAGTGTCCCGGCAATGAGGGCAATTGGTGGCGGCTGTAATGTGCAATTTGGGAGCGATTTGCATTTTAAGTAAGCTACGGACGCGGCGGTGGCTGCACGCATATCGTATTACCGGACAAGACCGAATCACTGACAAACCGATTGGAGTAAGCTATGTGCGCCGCTAGAAAATTCGCTGAAACGTAATTGTCCGTTTAGTCTAGCATTTGCAACTACGATTACATGCGCAGAGGGTCAAAGCAAAAACAATCATACCGCATCACATTAAATATAATGTAATTCACCTGTGTTAAATATGTGATTGATATTAAATGCATGAGAGGCCATGGAAAAGCGTGAGCTTGATGGCATTAGCTCAAGCAAGAGAGAATGAGATAGACATAGATAGATAGATAGATAGATAGATAGATAGATAGATAGATAGATAGATAGATAGATAGATAGATAGATAGATAGATAGATAGATAGATAGAAAGAATAAGTGTGCACTACGTAAATAATTATAGCGAGATTTCGAGCATTCGATTTCGAGCGTTGCTGCATCTGCCTACAAAGGCATCGCAAACTTCACAGTATAATATTAGTAGATACTGATGTCGCAGCTGAGGGACAGCTTCATGCGCCAAATATAGTAATGTGCGACTAAGATGAAATCGACGAATTAATGACGCAGATGTAACTAATATAATTGGCTATGTATCATATTCTACTCCGAAATTTATCATCTGCACATTGCTGTGCCAGTTCATGACGATACTAACTACGTGCAACCGTTAAACACCACATATTATAGCGATCAATAGCCGTATCCGAAAATGATAATCCTCTCATGAAAGCGCTAATATTACGACGCTTCCCCCTCCCCATCACCACCACCACAACCACCACCACCACCA